CGCGTCGTCGCAGTACGCGCCGTTGGCCATGGCCTCGAGCGCCGCCGGGTGGCCGCCCTTGAGCTCCTCCCAGCTCGCGCGCGGCTCGTCGGGCTCGGCGACGCGCGCGGGGGCCGCCTCGGCGACGACGTAGACGGGCGCGCGCGCGGGCCGCGCCGCCCGCGGGCCCTCGTCGCCGCCGCCCTCCTCGTCGCTGAGGCCGCCGGACGTCGGGGGCTCCGGCGCCGGCAGGTCCACGGGCGCCTCCTCCTCGGGGAACTGGCCGTCGTCGGGGTTGTAGCTCAGCGTGTTGCAGCAGAAGAGGAAGTCGATGGTGTCCATCTTCGGGTCGGAGCCGCGCGGCGAGAAAGAAACCGTCGGCCTTGCCTTGCGAACCGGCGCACGACGCGGTCGGACGGAGCGTCGATTGCCGGCGCGACGCAGCCCCGTCTCCGGTGCGGTCGACGACGGTGGCGTTCGGAACAAAGTCAGCGCTGCACCAGCGCGACGACGCAGCCCACGGTTTTTTAGCTGCGGCAACTTGAGCGGCAAACCCTCTTCACCATCACCTTGTGCCGCCGTGCCTCCTCGTCGTCGTCGCGCGCGCATCGCACAGCGTCGTCGCCGCCGCCACCACTGGTGCACGCGAGCGTCTCCGCGCCGCAAAAGCGTCGGCAGAGCGTCGCATCGCTTGCGCGCCGCGCGCCGCGCGCCGCCGCCGCGGGCGCCGTCGTCGCCATGCTGTCGCTGTGGCAGATGCTCAAGATCATGTGCGCCCGGCGTCCGCCGGAAAAAAACAACGCGTCCCGTCATCTCCATCGCGCGCCGCAGGCTGCTGCTGTCGAACGCGATGGCGATCCTGAACCGCCCGCGGTTCCTCTCGAAGTTCGAGTGCGCTCCCGGCGACATGTCCGTCAAGGGGCAGGTGCTCAATTTTCTCCTCGCCGCGCAGCGCGACGCGGCGTTCTTCTTTGCGCGAAGCGCCGGCGCCGACCCGCGCGACGCAGGTACATGCGCCCGATCCTCATCCCCTGCAACGTCATCTGCATCTTCGTCGAGGTCCTCTTCGGCAGCTGAGGCGCGTCGCGTAAAAGCGTCGCCGAGGGCCGCGTCTCCGGGGGCAGCCGAGAGGCGAGGGGTCGCGATGAGGCGCGCGCGCACCTCGGGTCATTCTTCATCCGGGTTTGTCCTCTTGCTCCGAAACGCGCGCGTTTCCATGAACAAACCTGGCGAAAGATGCCGATACCCCGCTTCACCCATCCCGAACCCATCGACGCCCGGATCGACAAGTCGGAAAAACACATCGACCACGGCTCCGCGTAAAGCTCCGCGCCGAGCCCGCCCGAGGCTGACGATGAAGTATGTATCATCATCAAGAAGTATCGTCAAGGTTTCGCCGCTGCGCTGCGCAAAACGCCGTAGCCGACTGCGCCGGGCTCTCGTCGCTCCGCGCCCAGCCGCGCGGCTCGCGGTACCATGTCGTCCGCGCGCGCCGTCATCAAGCAATCGGTGCGTGCCAGCCCTGTCCCGCCCACGCTCCGCGCGCGCCGCCGCCGCCGCCGCCGGGGCTGCCGCGAGCCCCGCCCCCGCCGCGCGCCGCCGCCGCCGCCGGGGCCGCGGAGGCGCCTCGACCGTGGCGCGCCCGCAGACGATGACGAGCGACATGCAAGACATGGCCATCAGCATCGCCATGGAGGCGCTGCTGAAGAACAACAGCGAGACGGACGTCGCCGCGGACATCAAGGCCGCGTTCGAGAGCAACACGCTGACGACGCGCGCGCGCGGCGTCGCGCGCCGGCGCGGCGGCGCCGTGCGAGACGCTTTTCGCCCGCGCGCAGGTGGCACTGCTTCGTCGGGCGCAACTTCGCGTGCTACGTCACGTACGAGGCGTCGAGTTTCACGTACTTCTACATCGGCCAGGTCGGCATCTGCCTCTTCGCCACGGACTAGGGGGCGCGCGCGGGCCCCCGCGGACGCGACGTCTCGACGGCTCCGTCCCCCTCGGCGGGACGAGCATGGCAGGCTCCCCGGCCTTTGGACGCCGCCCGCGGCCTCCGCGCGCTCCGAACACGGCACACGCCGGACGATGTAAGACCTCCGGACCTTACGCGTCGCGGCTAGAACTTGTCGAAGAGCGCGCAGACCTCCGCGAAGACGGCGTCGGCCGCGGGCGTCGAGTCGACGAGCGTGACCTTGTCCCGGGCCTTGAAGATCTCGATGATGGGCATGGTCGACTCGTGGTAGGTCGCGAAGCGCTTCTTGATGGCGTCGACGTTGTCGTCGGACCGCGCGGCGCCGCCCGCGGCCACCGTCTCCGCGGACCGCCGGAGGATCCGCTCCTGCATCACCGCCTCCGTCGTCTCGAGGTAGAGCAGCGCCCTACGTTTCACAAGATTGATTCTCCCAGCGAAAAGCATGGCGCGCGAGGACGCGGCCCGACGCGCGCGACGTCGGCGCAGTCGGCCATGTTCGCCTCCCAGCCCTGGAGGTTGTCCGCGCTCCGCGGGAACCCGTCGATGAGGAAGTTCCGCGAGCCGCTCGCCTCCATGGCCTGGCGGATGAGCGCGAGCCTGCGGCGCGGCGCGGCATCCCCGGACGCGCGCGGCGAGACCCGCGGACGGACGCGGCCGCACGCGCGTGATCTCGACGGGGACGATCTTGCCCTCCTTGATGAAGTCGTTGATGAGCTCGCCGTTCTTGCTCGTCGGGTCCTTGCGCTCGGCGCGCAGCAGGTCGCCGGCGCTGAGGTGCACCCAGCCGTACTTGTCGACGATCTTCGCGCACATGGTGCCCTTGCCGCTGCCCGGGCCGCCGAGGACGAAGACGACGCGGAACTCCGCGGCCGCCGGCCCTTTCTTCTGGAAGCAGTTGATGATCGTGTTCATGATCGCGGCCATGGCCGCGGCGACGACGTCGAGCGCCGGAGCGCTGCGGACGCGCGGCTCGGCGGGTGGTAGAGCGCTGCGACGCGTGCGGCGGCGCCGATCGCGACGCTCTGGACTGGTTCAACAAAACTCGCCGGAACTGCAAGGTAGTTAAATTGAAGCGACGATGCCGCCCCCAGCAGCCTACTACGCCTTGGCCTGGGGCTGGTCGTCGAGGGCCGTGAGGAGCTCGAAGACGAGGTCCGAGCGGCGCTGGAGGAGCTCGGAGAAGGCCGGGTCGCACATGACCTTGCTCAGGTTGTTCCGCGCGAAGGCCATGCACGCGACGCGGAGCGCCTCGCTGTCGACCTTCGTCGCGAGGTCGAGGAGCGCCGCGACGCTCGTCGCCTTGATGGTGGCCGCCAACGCCGCCTCGAGGGTCGCGCGGAAGTCCGGGTCCCGGGGCGCCGCGGCGAGGAGCATCGCGGCGACGTCCGGCTCGGCCGACACCTGGGCCGAAATCAAATCTTCAACCCGACGTTAAGGTGAGCGTATTCGACAATTTCGACGCGAGGCCTTCTGCTGTGCTTCGAGAACTCGGCGAGAGCGATCGATTCGTCCAAGAATCAGCCGAATCGACTTCGATGTGACCGAACTAGAGAGGTTTGAAGTTTGGCTGGAATAACCCAACCAGTGGTTGATTTCGGCACAGGCCGCCACGTCCTCCGCGAAGTCGCGCGCGGCCGCGCGGAGGCTGTGCAGCCCCGCCAGCGGCGCCGCGTGCAGCGCCGCCTCCGCGGGCGTCGCCGGCCGCGCGTGCGGCGGCGCCGAGATGGGGCCCAGCGCGTCGATGAGCGCGGGCAGGCCCGCGACGTCCATCGTCGACTCGAGGCACGCCTCGACCCAGACCGCCAGGCCGTGGATGTCGAGGCGCTTCGCCGCCCTGAGCAGCGCCGCCGTCGCGCCGTAGTCGTTGAGTAGATCGAGGTGGTCGTCGACGAGCGCGTCGCCGTAGACGAAGCACAGGACGCCGGCCATGACTTTCGAGTCCTCGCCGTTGAAGAGGAACGCCTTCGTGACCTCGCCGCCCGGCGCCGTGAACTCGCGGTAGAAGTAGCCCGACCGCGCCGCGAGGATCGTCGCGTGCGCGTCCAGGACGACGCCGTCCGCGCACTCGATCGTCACGTCCGCTCCCACCTTGCCCTCCCAGAGATCCAGCAGCCCCAAACCGATCTCGCTCGGGTAGAAGGCCGCCGCCAGGTCCTCGTCGTCGTCGTCCGGCGGCGACTCCGGCACCGCCGGCGCCGGCGCGCTCCGCGGCGCGGCGTCCGCCGGCGGCTCCGCGGCGTCGAGCAACGTCAGAATCAACTCCGGGCGCATCGCGTCCTCGTGGAGGTAGGGCCGCTTCACGGCCAGGCGCCGGTCGAAGAGGCAGAGCAGGATGTCCCGGCTCTTGTCCGGCCCGCCGCAGTGGCGCGCCAACAGGATGGGCTCGTGCGCGGACGCGACGCTGCCGTCGGCGCGCACGAGCACCGCCGGGTCGAGCGGGCTCCGCGACAGCGACACCGCCGGGTCCGCCGGGCGCAGCGCGGCCACGACGGCCACCGTGACCTTGTCCAGCGCGCTCGACACCGCCGCCGGGTCGTCGCCGTCGCCGTCGACCATGGCCAGCGCGAGCGCGACGTGCCGAGGCGGCGGCGCCGCGCCGCCCGCGGGGATCAGCTTCGTCTTGCCGAGCATCTCCCACAGACTCACGGCGTCGGGCCAGAGCCCCGCGCACCAGGCCGTGCCGCCGAGCTCGAAGCGCTGCGGCAGCAGCGCGCGGAACGCGACGACGTCCGTGTCCAGGTCCGGCGGCGCCTGCGCGCGAATCACATGTGCGACCCGACTTCAAATGTGCGCGTATGCGACAGTTTCGACGCAATCTCTTCCGCCGTGCTTCGAGAACTCGCCGAGAGCCATCGATTCGTCCAAACATCAGCCGAATCGACGTCGATGTGACCGAGCTGGAGGTTTCTGAAGTCTGGCCCCGACTTTCACCGGTTGATTTCCACGCGGGGCGGCGCGGACGCGGCCGCGAACGACACCGCGCGCGCGGGCGCGGCCCCGAGGAAGCTCGTCGCCGCGTCGACCTGGAACGCGACGGCGCGGCGCACGAGGCGCGACGACGTCGGCCGCGGCGGCCGCTCGTCGTCGGCGTCCTTCGACTCCGCCGCGCCGTGCGACGAGTACGTCGCCGCGTCCATGACGCCCCGCGCGAGCTCCGCGGACCACTTGAGGTTCACGGCCGGCTCCCAGCGCGTCGACGAGTCGTGGATGGACGTCAGCGTCGCCGCGTTGCCCTGGTCCGGCGGCGGCGGCGGCGCGTCGTCGTCGCCGTCGCCGTCGTCGTCCTCCTCGTCGGGCGGCGGCGGCGGCGTCTCGACGCGGAGCGCCTTGACCGCGAGCGTCGCGATGCGCAGGGCCGCGCCGTCGAGCACGGCCCCGTCGAGCACGGCGAAGGCGCCCGCGGCGCCGAAGCCCTCGGCGTAGGTGACGACGGCCGAGACGCCGTCGACGTCCTCGGGCGAGCCCGGCCGCGGCACGTCGAAGGTCCGCAGGTCCCCGACCTGCTCGAGGAAGGCCCGAAGGCTCCGCGTCGACGTGCGCCGGAAGTCGACGCCGCGCACGGCGAGCCGCGACGCGCCGAGGCGCCGGAGGTCGGACCGCGCGGAGAGCCGATTCCGGCCGACGGCCTGGCCGTCGACGCGGCGGCAGACCGCGCGGCCGTCGCCCTCGGAGCGGCACGTGAGCACGGCGCAGCCCAACGGCGCGTGCGTCGCCCGGTTCCGCAGCAGGCGCGCGGACACGGGCTGGGGCCCGCCGCCCTTTTGCGCGTAGGCGAGCACGTTCCGGAACGTCCACGTCGCCGGCAGGCCCCAGACGAGCACCTCGGTCCAGCCCGGGGCGTTGGCGCTCGGCGCCGGGTCCGGGGCGAACTCGGCGCGCGGCGCGGACCGCCAGTTGCTCGCCTCGGGCGACGACGGCGGCGGCCGCGCGTCGCGCCGGTCCGGCGTCCGCGCGCGGTCCCGGCCGTCGTCGCGCCGCTCGCGCCAGTCGGGCCGCCCCGGCCGGTCGCCGTAGCGGTCGCCGTAGCGCGGCTGGGACCGGCCCCGGGGGCCGCGGTCGTCGCCCCCGCGCTGGTAGAGGCCGCGCCCCGGCGACTTGTGCTCCTCGCGGCCCCGCGACTTGGACCGCGCGCGCGGCCTGCGACGGGGGGCGCGTGTCCTACGAGGGAGGCGCGCGGGCAACGCCACGCACCGGTCGACCCGCTCCCAGCCGTCGTCGCCCATGGCGCCGCGCAGAAGTCGCCTTTCACCGCGAATGGCGGCCAGCCGAGCTCTCTTTGCGAGGCGGGGCAGCCTTTGGATATAAATACTTCAAGGACTACGGCTAATAAACGATGGACGGCGCGCGCAGCCCCACGGCGCGCGAGCTCCAGTTCACGCTCAATTGGGTGGAGCGCAGCGGCCTCCTCCAGGAGGCGTCGGCCGTCAAGGTGCGCGCGTCGACGATCCCCGACGCCATCGCCGACGGCTACGGCGTCGCGCTCTTGATCCACGCGTCGCGGCCGGACCTGCTGCCGTCGCTCCACGCCTACGAGCGCGGGCGCGGCGAGGCGCCGCGGAACTGGACCCTGCTGCGGGAGCGCGTCTTCCGCCGGCTCGGCCGCCATTTCCGGAGCGGCGTCGGCGACGTCGAGCGCGGGCTGTTGAGCGGGCGGTCGGCCGTCGACCGGCGCGACGCGGCCATGGCCTTCCTCTGCGAGCTGCGCCGGGCGCTGCGCTTCGTCGAGGAGAAGCCCAAGGCGCGCCACAGCGCGTCGCTGCCGGCGACGAAGGTCGAGGCGACCCTCGTGTCCGAGGCCGTGCTGGAGGCCCGGTACGAGCGGCTGAGGGCGGACCTCCGGCGGCGCGACGAGGCGTCCTCGCGCGACCTCGAAGAGCGCGAGGCGGCGAGCCTGCGCTTCGACGAGGAGATCTACAAGCTGCGGGCGAAGAACCTGGCGAACCTCGAGGAGACGGAGCGGGCCATCGCGAAGCTCAAAGTCGACGCGGCCGCGTCGCTCGCGGAGGCCGAGGCCCTCGAGCGCGACGCCGAGGAGGCCTGGGGCGACGTCGGCGCGCCGCCGGCCGACGGCGCGCGGCAACCGTCGCCGGCGGGCGACGCCCTCGACCGGCTCCGCGCGCTCGACCTCTGCTCCGAGCGGAAGCCGTCGCCGGCCGCGCCGCGCGCCGCCGCGCCGCCGCCGCCGCCGCGGGGCGGGCCCGACGGCCGCAGCGCCATGGACGTGCTCCGCGCCCTCGACCGCGCGGCCCTCGACGACGACTCCGGCGACTCGAGCGACGCGTCGTCGGAGGGGTCCGCGCCGCCGCCGCCGCCGCTGACGCCGCCGCCGCTCCACTGCATGCCCGCGGCGCACCTCAGCTTCGACCGCTCGCCGTCGCCGCCGCCGCCGCCCGACGACGAGGGAGCGCCGCACCCGCCGCCCGACGACGAGGGAGAGCCGCGCCCGCCGCCGGACGACGAGCTCGACGGCATCGTCTTCGAGAGCATCGACGAGTACCACGAGTCGCACGCTCGCGAGCCGCCGCCGCCGCGCGCGCCGCCCGTGGCCCTGCCGCCGAAGCGCCGCACGAGCGACTTCTTCGAGCGCCTCTGCCCGACGCACGGCGCGCCCTACTACGAATCCGCGGCGACGGGCGAGTCGTCCTGGGACCACCCGGCGGCGGGCGTCGTCGAGCGCGTCGACGCCGACTCGGGCCACGCCTACTTCCTCGACGCCGCGACGGGGCGGACGGCCTGGGCCATCGAGGACCTGTAGTACGGGCGTTTTTTTTTGGGGTGTTTTGGTCTGGGCTGCGGTGTTTCTGTCGCTCGAGGCGCTCCGCCGCGCGGCGGCTTCGTGGCGGCTTGCCGCCGGCGGGCCTCTGGAGGCCCTCGAAGTGGCCCTCGCGGCCGCGCGCGCGCGCGCCGCGCGCGCGGAGAAAATTGCGCTCAGCCACGAGGCGACCACGGACAAAAGATTCGAACCTCACGCCGAGGTGGGTGGGTGGGTCCGGAGGCCCGATTTGGAAAATCTACAGTGTACTGATGGGTACTTGTAACGCGCGCGCGCGCGCGCGGTCATGACCCGCGGTGCCGCGGCTGACGGTCGCGCGGCACCTCGGCGACGTGTCTTCACGCCGCTATCGTCGTCTCTGGGCAAGCGCCGCTTCTCGCCGCGGCGACTCGAGCGGCGCGGGTGCCCGTTCTTATCGCAAAGCGGAGAGTGGACGGCGCAGCTCCGCGACAAATGCGACCCGCGCGTGCGGAACCGCGCGCGCGTTGTGGCGATTTTGCGCGCGGCAACTTGAAGGCAACTAACCGAAAAGGAGGTCCCTGATTGGCCAGGAGGTGGGTGGGTGGGTGCCGGGCGCGCGAGCGAGGAACCCGGCGTAGGGTACCGCGGCTTTTATCCCGGGCGCCTCTTGGCTCAGCGGATCTGCTCTCCCGGGCGCCACCCAGCTCGTCGGGCCGCGCGCGTCGTCGAAGTTCGCCGCGCGCGCCATCCGCGGCGCCGCGCGCGAGGTGCTGTCGGCCATGAATTTCATCAAGCGCACGTCGATCACGGCCAAGCACATGTACAAGCACAAGACCTTTGGCGGCGGCGGTTCCGAGGAGGTCAAGGACGAGGCCCACGAGGCGGCCATGGCGGCCCAGGAGGACTACGAGAAGCGCGTCAAGACCCTGGTGGCCATGACCATGGACGCGCGCGCGCAGCTCGCCGAGGTCTTCCTCCAGCTCGGCCACGGCGCGCAGTGCGCCGTCGAGCTCGCGGGCGCCGAGGTCGACGTCGGCCTCGCGGGCCAGGCCATTGGGCTCCAGGGGTCCGCGGAGCCGGACCCGGCGCGGCTTCAGGCGCTCCTCAACGGCACGACGCGCGCGAAGGTCACCGCGGGCATGATGCAGGAGGCCTTCCACGGGTCCTTTGGGGAAGGATTGCAGGAGGCGCTGCTCACGCCTTTGGAAAGCGAGCTCGAGCTCTTCGAGAAGACCAAGGAGGCCGTCGCGAAGAAGCTCGAGGCCGCGTTGGACGCGCAGCACTACGCGCAGAAGGTGCGCAAGCTCTCCGAGTCGGGCAAGGACAAGGACAAGGACAAGCTCGAGTCGAACTCCGCCAAGGCCGCGGCCGCGACCAAGGCCGACGACGAGGCGCGGGCCGCGCTCGACGCCGCGCTCGGGGCCCACGACGCCGCGCGCCTCGAGCTCCTGAGCCGCCGCGTCGGCGAGCTCAAGGGCATGCTCCACCGCTTCTGCGAGCGCGTGCTCGAGGCGCTCGCCGCGCCGGACATGGAAATCGGCCGCCGCGCGGACGCCGTGGAGCTCGACCGCTACAACATCTACGGCGACGTCAACGTCGAGAGCGCCATGGCCAAGCTCCAGAAGAACATGAACGCCTTCACGCTCAAGTCGCGGAGCTCGACGGAGTCCGTGTCCATGCGCATGGCGCACATGCAGAAGCACGCGAAGACGACGTTCCTCAACAAGAAGCCCGACGGCGACGACGCGGCGACGGAGGACCCCCTGGAGCTCGAGGTCAACGAGATGGCGAAGCGCTACGACAAGGCCTTCGACCTGTTGGCGAAGCTCCGGGGCGCGCTCGCGGCGCTCCACGCGTGGTACGACGGCGGCTTCTCCGCCTTCGTCGGCGTCGCCGGCGAGCTCGCGGGCCTCGTCAAGGACGGCGACGGCGGCGGCGCGGCGGCGGCCGTGCTCCAGTTCCACGCGTCGCTCGAGGAGGTCCGCGGCTTCCTCGGTTCGGCGCTCCGCGAGCCCCTCGAGGGCCAGCTCCTCGGCGCGCTCGACGCGGGTCTGGACCAGTACCGGCCCCTGGCGACGGCGCTCAAGGAGCGCGAGGCGCGCGCGCTCGAGCGCGCGCACTACAAGGCCAAGGTCGCGACCCTCGAGGGGCAGACCGCGGCGCTCCACGCGAACGACAAGTCGACGGACAAGGCCAAGGCGGCCCACGACGAGCGCGTCGCCCGGAACCGGGCCAAGGCCTTCGAGACCGACGAGCAGGCCCGGGCGGACTCCACGGCCTGCCGCGACCAGCTCTTAGCCTTCGACGTCTTCTTCAAGAACTCCGTGATGAACCTCTGCGACCGCCTGCCGGCGCTCCAGCGCGACTTCTACGTCCAGTTCGGCGCGACGGTCGTCGGCGCCATGAAGCTCGACGCGTCCGTGGCCTCCGTGCAGGACACGGCCGCGGCGGCGAAGCTCGAGGCGCTCATGGCCGCGGGCGTCGTCGTGCCCAACGCGGGCATGACGCTGGACCCCGGCGCGGCGGCCCAGGCCGTGCGCCTCC